CAGAAGTTGCCTCCAGAGGTTGTGAATGCTCCAACACTGCAAGTTTTTAAGAGGATCCTGGATAACCATTTGTCTGAAATAAATTTTCCTGCTAGGGCAGGGTATTGGGCTAGAAGATCTCCAAGGTCCCTTCCAGCTCTGTTATTCTAAAGTGATCTCTGTTACGCTAAAGAGATCAATGAAGAGATGTAAGAATATTCAATTATGTTAAACATCTATATCATTTATATAGTTATGAGACTTGTGTTCATAACTGGAAACATTTCTTGAGGGATTTTTCCTAATGCGCACTCAACTGAGAATGCGGTAGAAGAGTCTTATTTCAAATGAGTTAGTCCCCACTTCTCATAGTCAAATATTAATTACTTAAGCAATATTATCACTAAATCAATCCCAAAGGAGCTTTTAGAAGGGGCAACTGGGTTTCCTTGTTCTTCTTCGTGGATATTTCGCTTCTCATCCAAGAAGTTTCCGCAGTTCTGAAGAGTTGAAGACATGAAGAAGCTTCTTGGATGAGAAGCGAAATGTCGTCAACGAAAAACAAGGAAGTCCAATTGCCTCTTGAAGAAAAAGCACCTTTGGGAGAACCATGGCCTGGATAAGAGTCACTAAATCAATTTTTCTCAACTTTGATAGCTTTAAAAAGTGTGGACTTCCACTCCCGGAATTCCCCAGCCAGTTGAAGTTCACACATCACTTTTTTTTATAAAGATTTTTTATTATTTTTCAATTACAAAGATAAATGCTCCATCTTTCCTTATGCAATGTGTCATTCACATCATTCCTCATTTGCCACATCTCTCACATTCATATTAACATTATTTCCCTAAACTTAATATTATAATATATTAAACATTATAAAACTCTCCATTTTTCTTCTTAATATCTTCCAGTGGTGATATCATATTAACATTGAACCTCATTATTCTCACCATACACATACTAACAACTTTCATCTTATTTATATTTCTACCTTAATATATTTTCTATTTATTTTTTAGCCTTCTTCATTTCCAAAGTCCTTTTTTATTCTCCAGCCATTGGTAAAATACTTCCCAAATCCTATAATATTCAGTTTGCTCTTTCTCCTTCATTGCTAATGTTAATGTGCTCATTTCTGCACATTCAGATATTTTCCTTATCACCTTCTCATCAATAGGGAATGATTAAATATACATTCTCTTTATAATAAATTTCAGGTAGAATTCCTAGCAGAAATGTTTCTGGCTTCAACTCAATATGTTGTTGGGTCATTTCTTCCAACCCTATCTTAATTTTTGTCCAATACTTATTTGCCTCTTCACATGTCCAACACGTATGATAGTAAGATCCAGGTATTTGGTGGCACTTCCAACATTTAGCTGAGTTGTCTTTAAACATCTCTGTCCCATCTTAAAAGTTGCCAAGGTTGAAAAACACTGCATTAAATTAAGAACTACTTTTTGTAAATTCTCCTTGAAACAAACAATTGCTTTCAGATTAAATCTTTATAGGACTGTTTAGCGGGGAGCCAGTGGGTGTCATAAAGAAATAATCACAGCATTTACATCACAAACTTCAGCAATGATGGAATAACATGTATCAAAAGTTAGCAGCAAAGTGATAAGCAGGTCGCACTGATTTCATAGCTGGATGTAGATACACTGGCATACAGATTTAAATAGTTTAAATAGTTAAATGATGGTTGTGACAATGAGCTGCTGTTGAGACCGCTGGGGAAAAAGTCTCAAGATTTGTAAAAGAAATATTTTTCTTTACAGATAATGCAGGGGGGGAACAGAAAGGTGATTTCTCTTTCTTACAACTTGTAGATAAGGTGCCCACCTTAACAAAGCAGATGCCCAGTCCTTTCTAAAGAGGTTACTAATGGTCAGGTCCAATTCAGACAATGTACCTGAATGCAGATACATTGGTCTGTTGTGAGATATGTGCTAATACCAACAGAAATGTCTGAAATGTCATGTTAAAAGAATTCTCTTTAAAATGCACAGAATATTTGAAGAAAAACTCTTAATACGAAAAGTAGAACGGTGCATACTTTAAAATGATTTGGATCAGGTGTTTCAGAACAGGTAGACATAGGAATCCAGAAACTTTAGAAGAGGGACATAGCTGCTTTAAAGAGCTGATGGTCTCACTTCACTTTTAGAAAAAGGGGGGAGGGGGCACAGCCCTGATGAAAAGAAATGTAAAGCTACATAAAATGATTTTCATTTTATTTGGTTAGATTTTTATGGTGAAGGACCAAAACATTTGGGGCAAAAGGAACAGAGAAGGCAACAAAAGATGACTGAATTCCGCAAAACAACGAAGCCGATTTTCAAAACTGAGAAATAATGAAGTGTGTGTCGCAATTGCTGAAGTCAAATCGCTGACGGCTCTAGCAATTGCAACCGTTTTAAAGGTCCTTTAAGAGATCTATTCTACAACCTCCATGCTAAGAGTAGGCAACTAATCCTTTCTTCTTAGCTAGCCCAGCAGTTTATGGAGCAAAATTAATATCACCTGAAGTGGGATGGGTTTGACCTCCCAAAGTTAAACGGAAAGCAATGGTTTCCATCTTATTTTTTTCATGGT